TTTAATAATATAATTTTTTATAAGGATAATAATTAAATATTCTATTAGAACATAATAATTATCCAAATTATATTGTAGATCTTTTATATTTAAAATAAATGTTTATCTTCTATCTCGTTATGTCTATTTTTAGTTAGTTATACGAATTCAAACATAAAACTTTAATAAGTTGTACTTACGCATATTTTATTTGTAATCTTGAATTTTAAATAATATGCATCGTTAAACGATACTTCATGCGTAAAAAATAATTTATAATATAGTATATATATATATATATATATATATATATATCTTTTTATTGTATTGGAATCATAAAATTATGAAATATTTAAATAATATAATTAATTAAGAAATCTCGAAAATAAAGAATATTTTGGAGTCAATGTATTTATTTTAGAGATTTTTACTTTTCATTTTATATTTTAGATAAATTATGTTAAAAATGTTGTTTCAAAAATCAATTTTACAACTATAATTTTTTAGAGCATCTTTAACAACTATGTTAAAATAAATAAGATAGATATTTTAACATTTTTTTTTGCTTTAACAGCTATGTTATCTTGTATACAAAAAGAAGAGAAAGATTGTAAAAATCTATAAATTTAAAGAAAACTTTAAATAAAAAAAGAAATTATTATTTTAATACTCTTTAATGATAAGATTATTAAGGACCGGTGGGGAACTCAGTTCATCTGCCTTGAACGGGGACGGAGATTCCCCGCTAAAACGAATCCCGGCCCGGGACTGAGGATCCACGGTAGACTCAAGTCAGAGCCGGGGTTATCATTCAAATCAGGGTCGGGACCGGGGATCCCTGGTAAACTCAAACTAACGGATATTCTTCATTTGGGTTTGATTGGAGACAAGATGTTAATTTCCGTACCCGTCGGGGACCGGGGTCTGGTGCAAAAAACCGAGGCCGGGATTACAAAACCCACCCCATCTCCGCTCCGTTACCATACTTAAAGATTATTAATAATATAATTTTTTTAAACTCTTGTGTTGAAAAATGGTTATGAGAGTGGACTGTGACTCCGCCACTGCTCCACTTGAAAGACCATCACATGATCCAAAATTCGTAGAAAAATCAATTAAAAATAAAAAAGAATATAAATTTAACACATCACTTGGCCATTTGCCAATCAGAAAATCCTTTTTTCTATATAACCACCAATCGGAGATGAAGGCCAGACCGCCGGAGACACCGCCGACTGCCATCAATCCATCCTAAAGATTCTTCCTTTTTCCGGTGAAGTTCACAATCTCCGGCCAAACCCTCGTCGCCGTCGGCCATTGAAATGGAATCAGGAACATGGAGGCTTCTTATCTCTATGATGCCATTGATTCTATATTTGCTCTTCATCCTCTACTCTAATCATACTTCTCAAAAGGTTTGATTTTTATAAACCCTAATTCTTTTCTCTACGGATTATTTCACTTTCTACACATTCCTTTTACATGTTTTGACTATAAACTATGTGGGTTTTTTTGTGTGTGTTGGATATATGTGTGTTTCCGGACCAGCTTACATAATACACCTGCTAATTCTTGGGGACTGTGAATGGTCTGCTGTCAACCTCCATAGGCACAAGGCCTCGGATTCGGACCTGGGGAAGATGTGATTTCCGGTGCATCCCCTAAACTTTAACCGGTGGCCACAACCCAAGTGGTTAAATATGTGGTTTTATAGTGTTGGGACCTTTGAGTCTTTATATAAAAGAACTCTTGTAGTGATAGGGATGTTGCTAGAGGTTTGATGGTTCGTGTCTAGCTAACGGACGCAGGCTAAACGGTGCCCCTAGAGAGGAGGTGAAGAAGTTGTTGGGTTCACCTGCGGTGATACTATGTTAGGATATGTGGAACTTTTTTGAACCTCGATCTAAAGAAACTCTTTAATAGAGAGAGAGAGAGAGAGAGAGAGGAGGTTTCAACCTATACTTAGGTTTGATGGTAGCCGAAGTGGGACTCCAACAGGGCAACAGTTACTGTCAGTCAAAATTTTGATCAATTTGCCATGTAGATCTCCATTCGAGCTAAAACCAATAACCCATGAATCTTTTGGTTCAATGGTGAAGATCGGGTCATTGTTAAAGGAATTCCCTGAAACGACTTCTATCCAAATTGCATCTAGACTTGATTTACGCAATGGTGGAGACTCTTTAAGTCTCGAGACAATTTTTTACACTTAAAACTTCACAGCAAAACACTGTGCTGTGAATGTTCAGATTTTCTTTTACCTTCACAATATTTTGTTGTGAAGTTTCAAGTGTAAAAATGTGGTCTCATGGGTCTTACGAAAACAGGCTAGTCTCACGTGAACCCAATCCAAGTTAATTATGCAAAATAAGGTCTAAGGGATTGGCTAGATTTGAACACTTTCTCTTCAATATATGTTGAACCCCCTACTCTTCTAAGTGGCTCTTTTAAAGGATAATTTAATGAGTTCACATGGTAATTTAATACGGTGGAATCTGCTGTTGTGTGTCTTTGTGTCACATGCAGTTGGACACACTCTGGAACTTGTTCAGAGACTCGAGAAGTGTGCACATATATATATATATATATATATATATATATATATCGGTAATAACTCATAAAGTTGTGATAACCTCGAGAACTGATGCATCATGATTTATTTCATATGATCTTTTTATCAAAGTTTAGGATTTAGAGTATTGATTTACATATATTTGAACAATGCGAATTTTTTTACGTGTTTGTATAACAAAAAGTACACATAAAAAGGTTTCACATTGTGAACACATATGAAACAAACACATTGTGGAACAAATATATGTTAATAAATACATTAAAATCTAGGCTTACATGGAAAAATATCATGTTAAACAATACCTTAGGGTAAAAGTTTTTACAATTCTCACAATATATGGGGTTCTCATTAATTATGCTCCCACTCACACACACATATATAGAGAGATACTTGGGATCATGTGAGACCAACTTGTTTTCGCGAGATCACAAAAATAACGTTGAACCTTCAAAACAAAGCACTGTGAAGGTAAACCTTCACATTGTTTCTGCTGTGAAGGTTTGGTGTTTTTTGTACCTTCACAATGTTTTGTTGTGAAGGTTCGGTGTTATTTTATCGTCTCACGAGTCTCACGAAAACAGGCTGGTCTCGTGTGAACCCAACTCTATAATATATACATGTTCTTGAAATTTCCTACAAACATTAGGGATTTCTAGTGTCTAGAAAATCCCAGTTCTGATTCTAAAATTATTTCTTGAGGTAAAATAGTCAGATTTTAAGAAGCAGTTAAGAACTTGTGCAAGTTTGATGGTCTAAAAGTTACGGAAAATTGCATCAAAATGGAAGAAACTTTGTTTTCGTTCCTATTTTGGGAATCTACTTTCAAAAGCACCATTTCTATTTTGGGAAACTATGTCTTTGATGCAATTAAGGAAACATTCTGACCTATACAAATTGCAGCAATCTACGACAACCGGCTGCAGCCTTCTTCCTCATGATCGTTATTGGATCGTTAGCAAGCGGATTGTGACACCTCATGAGATAATTTCCGGCGCAGGTTTGTTCAACGCCTCGTATACATTTTGACACTTGAAGTCAAACAAGCTAACTTCATAAGGGCCAAAATGTAACGAACTTTGCTTTTATTTCGTACCCATTTTGACCGATAACCAGTTGATCTTGTACCTTTCATTGACGTGGATGGTCAAGTTATATTCTAATATATGATTATGTGGAAAAATGTCACATCAAAATCAACTGATGCTGCATAGGTTGAAAACCCATTTATCAAGTAAAACTGGGTAAGAAATAAGAACCGTGTTTGTTACACTAATCGAGAAAAAAAAATCATAATTACACTAAATAAGACTTGAAGAAGTCGACTATGCTGCCCTCGGGTGTATAGCTCAGTTGGCAAAGGGGCAAAGCGACTTTGCTCAAATACACAACAAGTTCAAGTTTGAATAATCCCGCTAGAGACGGGTTTGAACCCCTCACCCTCTGAAATGCCTCCTCACATGTGGTCTGGGGGGGGGGGGCGGTTTCATGTGGGCCCCATCAGGGTTGCCAGTAATCAACCTTTTGCTGAATTTGTTTAGATATGTTGATTGAATTTGCAAATGGGCAGTTGAGATCAATGGAGGAAGAATCATATCTTTGGTTAAAGAAAAGGATTGGCAGGGACAAATGAAGAATGGACCAGTGATTGATTATGGAGAAGCTGTTGTGATGCCTGGTTTAATTGACGTGTAAGAAACTTTTTCTATAAATAATCTTGATTTCTTTCCCCTTTTTGATCTTTGTGTTGTAGATCGAATACGATATCAAAGATGTAAGCTTTAGTAATCAAAGTGACGAAAAGTTGGAATCTTTACACGTAAAACGGAATTCTTTTGTGTGTTGGTCGTAGGCATGCGCATCTTGATGATCCGGGAAGGACGGAATGGGAAGGATTTCCTTCAGGAACGAAGGCTGCTGTTGCTGGTACGTCGATTAGGCGGTAGTATTCTATCAGTTGTTCTAGAATTCGGTTTTTTAATTCGATTGAAACGGAAAATAAGAGAAAAAAGTTCAGGTTTTCTTTTGTTATATCATTTCTTCTGAATCAAACCAGACAAAACCAGTATATCCCACTCGAAAATAGGGTCTGGAGGGGAGGGGGCGTCTCACCTTCACCCTTTCCACCTCCTTTCTCCGAGCCCACTATATTTTCAAGTCGTTACACCTAGTCTGCTACCCTTGTACTACGCCTCCAAGAATATAGTAAAATGGGATTTGTGAGCTCTTTATAGCCTCAAGTTGTGGGCTACCAATAACTTCCACCATGGTTTTAAGTTGGTCAACCTGTTGCTTTGGGCTTTAGGGTGTTACAAAGAACTCTTATGAGAGGTTATGTGTATATCATATTCTTCCGTTCTCTTGTCTCTACATTGCTAGTCATGTCTCCGTCACTTCACACCGGGACCCACAATCATATCCTCGTCGTTATATATGGGACCCACAAGATGAAAATGTTAAATGACCTAAAATCTTTGTTTATACAGGTGGGATAACAACATTGATAGATATGCCTCTGAATAGCTTTCCATCTACCGTCTCTGAGGAAACCTTAAAACTAAAGGTGAAGAAGTCTAATTTACACTTCATCATATGCTTTATCTGTTACTCCTTCTCTCTCAAAATAAATGTCCACAATGAAAAAGGCATACGGTTTTAGGGATGTGCAATTATTACACTTTTTAGCTAACTAAATGACACTTTTACCCTTAATAACTGACAGAGAGGGAGAGAGAAATTTTCTCCGTCTCATAATCAAGGGTAGAATGGGAAGGTAGACACTTACTTTTGAAAATGGACGCTTATTTGGGACAAACTGAAATAGAAATATGGACACTTATTTTGGAACAGAAGGAGTATTTCTTTTAAATCATTGCAAGTGAAATGCTAACTCATTTTTTATCATTATGAAAATTTGGATGACAGGTAGAGGCTGCAAAAGGGAGGATCTTTGTTAATGTTGGTAAGTTCTTGAAACCGAAAAACGAATAAAAGCCAATTTTGATGCACTCAGGGATTGTTTACTACCTGCTCACCGCCTCTTAATGGGTAAGAGATGCTTACCCGTTAAGAAGAGATGTTGTTTATCAACACACACTTACCCGCAAATATGCTGACCAATAATGAAGGGTTGCTTTTTGAATCGGTCAATGCTTCATTAAGTGCTTACCCACACACTTAGTAAACAACCATTTTCAGCCAACACTTACCCAGACTGCACTCTTACTCGGTTAGCGTTCACCTAAATTATGTTGGTAAACGGCATGCTTTTCATGTTTTTTCACGTCGGCTTTCCTTTCCTTTCCCACCTGCCCGGCGCTCCGGAGGGTGACGTCATACTCCTTTTGTAAAAGGAGGAATCGTATCAGTTGCCCCGTGACTCATTTCTAAATCCCGACATTACATCATACAATATTCTCATAGGTGAATAGAACCAAACAAAACCAAACGAACGCAGTATATCCCACACAAAGGTAGGATCTAAGAGGTAAGATGTACATTGATTGTTCTCGTACTCGAATCTTACATTTATTTCTTTTACGCAGGGTTTTGGGGAGGTCTAGTACCCGAAAATGCATTTAACGCGAGTATTCTAGAAGGTCTCCTAAACGCCGGTGTTCTTGGTCTGAAGGTATGAAAACTACCTTCTTCCTAAAACACCCAAGATTCAAACTTCCATTTTTTTCTTATCACTTGTTCACTCACACTCCTGCACAAGTTGGGGGTCTTCACAGAAACAACTGCTCTACTCTTTGGGGTGGAGGACAGGTCTGCATGCATCTCATCTCAGTACCCTACTATCAAGTGGGATTATTGTGTCAGTTTTGTTTCGTTTTCAGGTTATTTTTCTTTATCATTGTGTCTTACTCTATGTTCCGTATATCTTCCGTCTTCAGTCGTTCATGTGTCCTTCAGGAATTAACGACTTCCCCATGACCGATGCTAGCCATATCAAGGTACTTAAATAATCTAGAATGCTTAATCTTGTCTATTTGATGTTCAAAATTGTTTTTCTGAACGGTTTTTCTCTTTTTTTTTCGTACCTCTAGGAAGGGCTTTCGATATTGGCCAAGTTCAAGAGACCTTTGCTTGTCCATGCTGAAAAACAAGAAGAAATCGAACTTAACGATGGTGTTGATGATCCTCGGTCCTATTCTACGTATCTTAAAACCCGACCTCCCTCATGGTACATCTAGTTCTCTTAAATCTAACATAAAAAATGGATCAAAATGTAACGAAGTTTGCCTTTGTTTCTATTTAATGTAACAAAGATTTTCTATTTGTTGTAACTAAATGTTAAAATTTCCTATTTTTACTCATTTTGATCGGCAACCTGCTGATCTTGTAACATCTGACGACTGGTATCCACGTCATCTGAGGTTATAGGATCGGCACGTTACTGGTCAAAATGGGTACAAAATAGAAAATTTTGAAACTTTGTGGCATTTGATGCATTTTGCCATGATCATAATCGGACTTATTAAAGGAGACCGTAATTTCTAAAAGTGTCTGTTTTTGGTTCGGTTAGGGAAGAGGCGGCCATTAGAGAGTTGCTAACGGTATCAAAAGACACCAGAATCGGTGGTCCGGCTGAAGGAGCTCATCTTCACATCGTTCATCTCTCGGATTCTAGATCTTCTTTAGAATTGATCAAGGTACTCGTTTCTTTTTTGGTCTTAAAGGAAACAGTCTCTCTACCCCTTGTGATAAACAAAACGTCAGTATGCATCTGATCCTTCCCAGACCCTACTTTCGAGTGAGATATACCGTGTACATTTGGTATAATTGTCGTTTTTGTTATAGGAAGCAAAAGGTAACGGTGATAGCATAACCGTTGAAACTTGCCCACATTATCTAGCCTTTTCCGCAGAAGAAATCCCGGAAGGCGACACTCGTTTCAAGTGTGCACCACCAATCCGCGATGCACCCAACAAAGAAAAACTCTGGGAGGCCTTGATGGTAATTTCAATTTCGATAATCTCTCCTATAGTCTTCGTCAGGGCGTTCCAAACTTTTTGGAGGTCCAATGTATCAAGACTATAGATCGACTGGATAAAGGCTAAAACATGTATTATTGGGTCGCCATCTTACCTTATGATGTGAAATCTGAAACTGTAGGACGGACATATTGACATGTTGAGCTCCGATCATTCACCGTCGGTGCCGAAGCTCAAACTCTTTGCCGAAGGCGATTTTTTGAAGGCTTGGGGAGGTATATCTTCGTTACAGGTTAGTTGTCTTTTCGGGATCTTTTGGTACTAAATCGTTCGTTAGGGTGCGTGTGGTACATGGAACACAGGACAGAACAAAAACTTGTCCTATGTTTGGTGCAACATTAGACTGGGACAGGACAAGACTAACATGGGACAAGATTTACAAATTACTAAACTACCCATGTCACATTAAAACCATGAAACCTTGCATAATTCTTGGTTTTTTTTTTTCCAGTTTGTTCTTCCTGTGACTTGGTCATATGGGCTTAAATATGGTGTTACTTTGGAGAGATTGGTTTCATGGTGGAGTGAGAAGCCTGCTAAACTTGCTGGCCAAGATATGAAGGTAACATACCATCAAGCTTTTATATATATATATATATATATATATATATATATATATATATGGAGTCGGGTTCATACGAAAATGGTACCTATTTAGGAAAATAAGAGACAAACCGATCACATGTGATTTTACACTAACATCAGGTACATAACCACATGTGATTCATGCGACCTTGCCACACGGTCATAGGGTCGCTCTCATGCTTTTTTTGCTGTTAATGTAAAATCATATGTGATTTTGTATGTAATTTAGTCATTCTCTTATTTTCTTAAATAGGTATCATTCTCGTATGAACCTACCTCTCTCTCTCTCTATATATATATAGAATTAGGTTCAGCAAAAAACTACAAAAATGCAAAACTGAGTAACACCCTCTGATAACCATTCATTTGCGGTATGCACATGTGCATATAAGGCAAATTACTTTTATGCACATGTGATGTCTTACAAATGAATTGTTATTAGGTATCATTCTTGTATGAACCTATCTCTCTCTATATATATAGAATTAGGTTCAGCAGAAAACCATAAAAATGTAAAACTGAGGAACACCCTCTGATAACCTGATAACCATTCATTCGGTATGCACATGCGCATATAAGACAAATTACTTTATATATATATATATATATATATATATATATATATATATATATTTATATAGGAACCTATAAGTGCTCTTTTAGAGAGAGATTCAAAGGGGTTCCACATCTTCACAAATATCAACGTCATATTTTCGTTCTTCAGCATAATAACATGATCAAATATTTGCAGGGAGCGATTGCAATCGGAAAGGATGCAGATATTGTTGTTTGGGAACCGGAAGAGGAGTTCAATCTTGACGAAAACCATCATGTACACCTTAAACATCCGGTACGAATTTCCTTCCTTGACCTTATGGGTGCATTTGGTACGTGGGCCATATCAGGACAAAAACTTGTGAACAATTAGATCGAGACAGGGCAAGACTGAGCGGGACAAAAATGCATTTTTCCTGTCCCACCAAAATAGGTAGAACAAAAATCAAGAAATGAGACAAGATTGGTAAATTACTGAGCTACTGTGTCGAATTAAAACCCTAAAACCTTCCACAATTATTTCATTTGTCTATCTCACTCTCGCTCTGTATTCCTCATCTTGAATATAAATTGTTTGAAAGCCGTGAAACTAACCACGTTCTTTGTCTATAGAGCATATCGGCATACATGGGATCACGACTGGCCGGAAAAGTTCTGGCGACTTTCGTTAACGGAAACCTTGTTTTCGATGACGGAAAACATGCTCCTGATGCATGTGGTACAACTATCCTAGCATGATCGACGATCAAATTAGCCGGGAATTCTTACCATCTGATCTCTACCTTACGATCAACCTACCCGATTTGATCGATGTTTCCTTCCGGATCACGTCACAGTCGAATCTGTGTTCTTTTCGGGCAGTATTTCCAGCATCTGTGGTTGTAACAGAGGGAAAATCTGATGGTGTAATCTTGCAATTTTTACTGGAGATTTACAGAATTCATGTATATACATGTATTAGTTATGACTGAATCCCAATTATGACGGTCTGAAAAATCTCAACTCAATCCAACCTGGTATAACCCAAACCCGTGTTCAAAAAAGTTGGATTAGTCGAGAAGTGATTTTAGGGAATCGTGATTTCTTCGTAATTTGTTGTGGTAGATTTAATTATTGGACGGTCTGAATTGGTTAGCAAAGTTATCATCTTTTTGTTGGTTAACAAATGACTGACTCTCTACATGTGTGTGTATATATATAGAGAGAGAGGAACGATCGATTGCAAACCACTTTCATTTGTGAAAACCCTACAAACCAATCTCAAGCATTCATTTTCTTAATCAATGATCAAGATTAAACAGTGTTATATTAGGAAATTAAAAAAAGGGTAGAATCGGCAAATCACCCATATGAATTTGTTTCACTTTATGAAACTGTATTTTATCACTATCTTTTTCACTGTATGCAACTATTTCACTGAATGAAACTGTATTTCATCATTGTATGTAACTATTTCACTGTATGAAAAACATTATTTCATCATTGTATTAATCTGTATTTCTTAACTAGATAACAATGTATTTCTTTATTGTATGAATCTGTTTCACAATATTTATTCATATGTGTGAATCTGGTTCACTGTATGAATTTGTTTCACATTATGAAACTGTATTAATCTGTCATCTTCATTGTATGCAACTATTTCACCGTTTTATATTTAAAAACAATTGATTTACACCTTCCATTTAAACGGTTTATATATTTACGTTTTCATATTTAAAAATAATTAAATCATTTCCAATATTAACCATTATACAGTAAAATGACAATTATACTCTTACTTATTAAAATTAAAGAATAAAAAACGGAAATTTTCTATTGGTCGAGACTCGAGAGTGGTTTTCATAGTTTTCACGAATAAGGTGGTTTGTAATCTAACCCTCCTCTCTCTCTCTCTCTCTCTCTCTCTCTCTCTCTCTCTATATATATATATATATATACTATCTTATAAAGCATTTGGCTAAAACTCTTAAAACTCTTAAACTCGTTCATCCCCAAACGATTTCATCCCTATCCGATTTCATCCCATATCTGAATTCGTGTAA